AGGATGCCCCTCATGCAGACCCACATCTGAAATTCTATGGACACTTTTGGAAAGGGTGCAACTGGGGCCTGAATGAGAGGGAATCAGTCTGGAAGTCAGAGATAGGTATGTAAGGGGAGAAACTGCATTGAGGAGCAAGACCGGAATCTGCCTGAAAGGATCTGTGCTTGAAGCCACCCTCTGGCATGTAGGAGGATGCCGCCCACAGGCCCCAGTGCAACATGCTGAGGGACCCGGGGAGGAAAGTCTGTTCCTCCTCCAGTAGCTCTCTAGCACCTTATACTAGCAGAGTTAGAGAATCTTCTTATGTTCTCCAGTCACTACCTAGGATCCTTTCATTTGAACTTGAAAGATACTGTCTTGCATTTCTTATAATGTAGGTCTAGTGATAACAAGCTTTCTCAATTTTCATCTAGGAATGTCTTACTTTCCTTCTGCTTTAGAAGGGCAGTTTTGCAGAATCAGAATTCTTCATTGATAGTTTTAGTTCTGTCATCATTTGGCCTATAGCCACTCACTACTTCATCTACCAAGGATTCTGATGAGAAATTCGATGGCCTTATTGCAGATGCTTCTGACGTGACATTTCTTTATTCTCTGGGTGCTTTCAAGATTTAATAAACTCCACCTTGGTGTGGATCTCTGGCGTTTGCTGAACTTCTTGAATTTGTAGATGCATATCTAAGTTCAAATTCGGTAAGTTTTCAGCCACTCTTTGTTCAGAGAGTCTCCTTACCCCTTTCCCTTTCTCTCCTTCTGAGACTTGGAAGGTGTCTTTAACCCGCTTGATCAGGCTCCCCCAGGTCTTGTCTTTTCTTCACTCTTTGTTTCTTTGTGATTCTTAGGCTTAATCATTTGTTTTCCTATTTTCAAGTTTCTTGCTTCTTCTGTCTACTAAAAGCTGCTTTGAACTCATCTGACTGTTTTTCATCTCTAAATTTTATTTATGTTTCATTTTAGTAATTTTTGTCTCTTACTCATACAGCATATTCATGTCTTTGTGTTTTCCTTTGACTCTTCAGAGTCTTTAAGACAGCTGTTTAAAAGCATTTGTCTAGTAAGTCTAACATCTGAACTTCCTTGGGGATAGGATCTGCTGCTGGGTTTTGCTCCTTTGAACAAGATACACGTTTGCATTTCTTTGGGTGCCTTATGATGTTTTGCTGAAACTGGGTATTTAAATTTATATTAGCTCTGGGTTTGGTATCTTTGATATCTTTGCTTTGTTTGTGGTTGAATGGTATTTCTGTACTAGGCATTGACTTGAAGTAAAAGTTTAAGGTTTTCTCGTGCCTTTAAAACCCTAGATCTTTTTCTGATGTCTGTCTGCCTCATAGCTTTCCAACTTCTGGATATCCAGTTGCTTTTAAATGACTTAATCCTTGAATGCTTCACTCCTAGAAGGGGAAAAGTGTTGTGGGGAGGGGGGAAGCTGGTTACTGAGATTCCCTGGAGCCACCTCACCTGTTGGAGGTTTCAACAATGTCAGTCATCCCATAGTCAGAACAACAGTCAGCACTCAGAACACAGAAGCTGGGTATTTGGAGAATAAGGCCTTTCTTACTTACCCTGGCTCCATCAAGCTGTGTCTTGGCTACCTACCATACAGCTAGGGGTGGAGGATGACTACTAGCTCTACTAAAGGTTGAAGTGGTCAGCTATGAACTTCAGTGTTCCAACCAGGGATCTACAAGTTTTCAAATACACTCCAAGATTTCAAAATAGATACTTACAAAAGTTTTTGTGAGAGATTCCTGCATTGTTGTCTACGTACAGAGATTCCCGGTGCTTCCTACTCTGCCATTGTCTCTGACATCTCTTACTGTACATCTCTACTTCCTCTCCCACACTCTCTCCCTCCTCCCCCTGTCATTTGAAGGTAAAATCTCAATATAGTTCACTTCTGTCTACTGCTTATTGAGAGCCATCCCATGTGAGGCTCTGCTGGAGACTGATGGAGAAGGGCAGGAAGACAGGCACCCAGATCACCATTCCTCAAGCCTGATTGATATTGAACAGCATAGTAAAGACCTAAACAAGAGGGTAAGAGTTCTAGGTGGGAAGGAAGGTGGGATGGAGGTGCCTCAAAGATGGGCAGAGGATAAAGGGGTGGGAGGCAGGGAGCTAGATAGGAGGCAGAAAGAAGACTTTCTATGGATGAAGATCCAGCATGAGCAAGAATATGGAGAGAAGCAGCTCAAGCACAAGGAGATAACAGTGAGCTTCTGCCATCGTGGTCCAGGATCCAAGTGGTCTCATAGTCACATCTAGTCTGCTTTCTACCTACATGCCAGCTTATGTAAGTGGGTCAAGCAAGTGTAAATCAGAAGAAATCAGATGGAGATGGATGAAAGTAAAGGTCAGATGGAGTTTGATGCCAACTCAGGAAGTTAGTCAGATGACATGGATGAATTCCGGCCCAAACCCTAAGCTATGTAGGAACCAGAACTTTCTTCATTCTAGGGACCAACCTGATTGGGATTTTTCAACTACATTTCTACTTCTGGTCTAGAAGTTTCTGTCCCAATGTTTCCTGAATCCTAAGTTCTGTGAGCATGATTGAGGTGCTTGTGATCCCTGCTCTGTGAGTTTGCTAGGGATGCTGAAACAAACTCCCACAGATCAGCCACCTCAAATAACAGGAATTTTTTTGTAGTTTAGAAAGCTATAAATCCAAGATCAAGGTGTCAGCATGGCTGGTCCCTTCTGAGGATTATAATCAGGAATGGGTTCCTTGCCTCTCTTCTAGCTTCTGATGGTCTGGTGGCAATTTCTGACATTCCCTGGACTATATAAGCCTTATCAAGATCTCTGTTTTCATTTTGTCTTGGAATTCCTGCATGTCTGTCTCCATATTTCCCCCCTTTTCATTTTTAGTGTTTGTGTTTGTGTGTGTGTGTGTGTGTGTGTGTGTGTGTGTATGTGTTTATGTGTTTATGCACACGTGCACACATGTGCCACAGCATGAGTGTGGAGATCAGAGGACAACATATGGGAAGAGACAGTTCTTTCCTTTCACATGTGGATTCTGGGGAGTGACCTCAGGTCATGAAGTTTAATGGCAATCACCTTTACCTGCTGAGCCATCTTGCCAATCCCACATTTCCCCCTTTTTATAGTGGCAACAGTTATACTAGATTAGGGTCTCACTTTACTCCACTGTGACCTCATATTAACTAATTACATCTGCAATGATCCCATCTCCTAATAAAGTTACAATTCCGAGACACTGGGGGTCAGGATTTTAACCTGTGAATTTGATAGAGGGGACAAGTTCAACTGGCATTATCTTGCCATATGACATATGCTATGTCACTCATCCCTCCAGGGTCCCTAGTTGTGGAAACTTACCTATTGCCATGGAGGTATGTCTCCTGACATCCCATATGACTTTGGAAGCCCAGTCCCTCTCTGCTCCTTTCATGCTTTCTTTGTGATTCAGGAATCCATCCATTTTGTCTGTGCTTGGTGCCTGAACCCACAGTCCTTGGGAAGGTGGCGTAAGGCTAAGTATACCTTCATCTAAGTATATCATGTGACCATTTCTCTGAGGTGCCTGATTGCCTGGTATTCTAGGCAGAAAATAGAACACAAAGCCCATCTGGCCTCATATTCCATCAGCCTTTTAGAGGTTTGACCATTTCCTAACTCGAGCCTAATCTAGAGACTAGAATTCAAGCCCTCACAATAAGGCCACCATTGTATATGTAATCTTCCCAGGGTCTTCTCGTCTAGGGGAGGGAACCATTTCTTGTGTGTGTAATGTAGACATAGAGATGTGCAAGGGGTCTTTCCTTCTACCTGGGATGTTTTCTCCAATACAACTAGCGAACTATGAGCAATGGGCCATATCTGCTTTACCACCTGTTTTTGCAAATAAAGTTTTATTGAAACAGCCACATCTATTATTTCACATGTTGTCCCTGGCTGCTTTTGTACTATGGTAGCAGTTGTTGCAATAGACAGTATGACTCACAAGACCAAAAGTACTTAATCTGTGGCCCTTTATAAAATAAGGTTCATTGTTGATCTCTGGTGTAGACTTTCATGGAGACTTCTGCCACACTCTACTGTTACATCTGTCCTCTAAAGCCATGATCACAGGGTGGCCTATGAAAATGAGAAAATGAAAAGGTGAAGGCAAGAAATATCCCCCGCCAAGCTTTTGTGGCACAGTTTTCTTTCTTAGTGAATTAAAAAAAAAAAGAATGCAAAAGCAAGAAATTTCACTCTATTGTCATGACCTTGGCACCACAGGAATGCTTGGAAGCCTTGAGGTTATATAGATAGTCCCCCCGAAGGATACCCTGGGATCTCACAGAGAAGCTGAGCAGAGCTATTCTGTGACCAGCCCGGTCAGTATCCTGCCTTCTGTCTCAATGCCCCTTAGCTGTGTGGACTCTGCCAGGGAACACAGACAGATCTCCAAAATTGCTCACCACATCAGCCAGTCTAGACATGACACCTAGGAATCCAGACTACAGTATTGACTTCACACTTGACCTGATTAAAGTGGCAGAGCTGGGACTTAACTGCCCACTACTCAGATACTGACCATGAACATGTAGAATTAATCATTCTACTTTACTTATAAAGTAAATAAGAGCTATTTATTCACTGGTCCTGAAACTTGGTGACCTCTAGAGCATACCAAGGAGTCATTGTAAGGTCTTCATTTTGGTGAATTTTTTTAAAAAACTAGCAACATTTCCCTTGGGGCTTTCACTGTTACACATGGCCAAGTTTTAAATGAGAAAGGCACAACTTGTGGACCTTGCTGAACTTATACTCACTGACTCCTGTTTTTACAATTCTTGGATGTATTTTTCTGCTGGCTCACTTAAATATGCCTCCCATGTGGGGCTGGGCTTTCCCAGATGTGGTCTATAGGAGAGACCAAGTTGCTTTGGAAACCTTGCCCCATCCGCTTCTGGCAACAATCCAGGTGCCCTTTCTGTTTCCACCAAAACTGCTGCTGACACAGACTTTCTTCCTTCTAGCCCTGGACCTGGAGGTACACACTGCCGGGGTGCCAGCGTGGAGCATGCCGTGTGTGAGAACCTGCCCTGCCCCAAAGGTCTGCCCAGCTTCCGGGACCAACAGTGCCAAGCCCATGAGAGACTGAACACCAAGAAGAAGGGCCTGTTGACAGCAGTGGTGGTTGATGGTAAAGGCACATGGCCCTTCCTTCCATTGTAGCCTGCCTCTTTCCTCCCCAGGAGCTGTAAAAGTCACTTAGGGAAACTCACAGCCCCCAGCCCACCCAAGGGGACACTCCTATCCTCTGTCCAAGTCAGGCATGACCCTAGCTCTGTAATAATGAGACTAACTACTAATGACTTGAGATCACCCCACAGCAGCTATCAAGGTAGACAACAGGCCAGATTCATTTGCAGCAAGATGGTGCTGGCATCTGTTTTCCAGTGCTGTGTGCTGAGGTACCAAGAGGAGGATGGTGTCTTTGAGTATGTGCCTTTTTGCTTTCTATCACTGATATTCTCCTGTGTTTCTTCCCTGGCTCATTTTGGGTTGGCTCTTACTCTGCCTGGAGTGCTTGGGGGACTTTTGAGAACAGCATACAGTCTGGGAGATATGATAACTAATCAAGGTCACATTTTCATTCTAAGAGCCTTCTCCCCAATCAGGAGACTGTCTGCTGTCGTCTTGCTCAGTATTTCCAACACCAGTAAACAACTCTAGGTATTGGTTCACATCTCTGTAGGATCTATGATGTCTGTTTCTTAGGTGAGGAATTCAATCTCAAGGCAGAATTCAAGTTGTTTTTTTTTCTACCTAAAACTCTTCCTCTTTAAGAAATACAAGTTTGTGTTATATTACTGACAGTAATGATCCCATTTATCATGCATATCATGTGCCAGGCACACATTTGCTCCACACACATCATCTCACTAAATATGCAAAGGAAGCTGAGGATGGGAGGTGACAGGTTACACCTGAGTTCCTACAGCTGGCAAGAGGTGAGGAAAGGAGCTGGCAGAATTCTAGAGGGCAAAGTTGACTCAGAGCACAATCAGCTATCATCTGGCTCTCAATACTCAGTGAAGGCAGGAATCATAACATGGGTACAGTGAGGGAGCTTTTGAAGAACTAAAGCAACTGAGCCTGATTTTCACACAAAGCCTAAGTGTTTTGCAGAAGAATGGCATTCTGGTACTACGCCTTGGTTTTCTTCCCTATGAAACTTCCATTCTGCCACCTGCAATTACAAGTTCAAATGTGCACAGCTGTTTGAGGGGAAGGCCAGACAGCCCTGGCCACAGCAGCTTCAGATCTGTTTTAACCCAACAACCTGACTCCCTCGCTTTAAGCTAGGCTTGTAAATTACACATGATGTTCTGAGTAGTACCTGCTTAGCTTGGGACTCAGTTTCAAGTACTGGAAAGCTCATTACCCAGATATTCTCCCTATTCAAAAAGATACCTGGGGCTGGAGAGATGGCTCAGCAGTTAAGAGTACTGGTTACTCTTACAGAGGACCCAGGTTCAATTCCCGGCACCCACATGGCAGCTAACAACTGTAACTCCAGTCCCAGGGGATACAATGCCCTCTTCTGACCTCCATGGGCATTGTACGACATGGTGCACTCATATACATAAAATAAAAATAATAATTTTTTTAAAAGGATACCACATTCGGGGGCTGGGTTATCTCACTGCTGCTTACCCAGCAAAATTCAGAAGGAACTCAGCTTTCACATCCCCAACTTTCTCTGAGAGAAAGGAGAGATCTCCCTCTCTTAAAAGAAAATATCCAGTTGAAAGGACCCTTGCTTCTCACTGTCTGGCCATTAGCCTGGTGCATGAGGAGCCTGAGGACTTCTCCACCTATCACAGTACCCTAACTGGGACTGAGGCATTATCAGACAGAGCTGCCATGTTCTAGTGCAGTGGCCAGTTCTGATAAGAATCCCCCTGCTTCCAAACCTTCAGTTGTCCCAGAAAGCCAGATAAAGATTCTTTAAAGCCTCTTTTTTGTGCTCACCTCTTTTCCTAAGGCCAGAAGAAACCAGGGCTGAGACACTCTCCCCTTTTTCACTCAGTTCTATGAGTCAAGTTAATTGCTACTTGCTTCAGTTTTAAATTCTCCTGCTTCATGTATTCAATGCAGAAATCCCACTTCAACACTGTCCACACATTTCCTCAAATCCAGCTTAAACTTCTATTTTCCTGCTAACCACCTTCGAATGGCTGTACTCTTTGGTTCCCTTACCAGAACATTGGCTGAGACTCTTGTCTGTCCAGATTTACCTCATGGGGAGGCTCCTTGAAGAGTTTACTAGGATTAGAATGCATCTTTCCACCCATTTGCTCTTGCTTCTTTCTGTCCAAGTAACAAAAAATTCTATATAATAGTGTGCTACCTTTGACCAGAAAACTACAACCTTATTTGATAAGAACAGCTTACAGACTGTAAGTGTTGAGCCTTTGAAGGAGAGACTCCGAGTTCAGGGCTTTGCAAGGGTAGCTGGACCCATTCTCCTCTGGGGTGAAATTGCCACGGCTTCTTGCGTCTAAGGTTTCATTTCTCTCAGTATGAACAGAAGCCAGCATTTTTTAAAGGAGCATTTCACAACAGCACAAACAAAATAATAAATGGCCAATTCAAAAGACTGATTATAAGTGCTCCTCTGAAACCCCACTTTCTAAATGGCACAATTCTAGCTGAGCCACGACAGGAACGATTCCTGTGGTTGGGCTCCAGACTCCTCGCAGTCCATTATGACTACCCTATTCATAGTGCCGCTATCACTGTGGAATTCTTTGGCGAGTGATGCACGGTTCAAGAAAGGGGAAGCAATGTTTTCTCTCCCCCCTCCCCTTTTAAAAAAATTCTTGCAGAGGTAGACTTTCCAAAGGAGAGCTCAGGACCACAAATCCATCTCACCTCCAAAGGAAGACAAAGACTCTCCTTAGAAAAGATTTCAAAGAGGAAAAGCCTTTAGACAGAAACCCACTGAGATGGCCTTTTGCCAAACCCAGCCTGTTTCTGCTTTGACTATGGAATCCTGTCACAGTACAAACCTTGAAGGGTTCAGACCCCTCTGCCCAGGCCAACAGCAGGCCCTGTTCCCACTGAAGTGTTGGAGTGCTGTGTCTGGACAAAGTGGCATGTTCCCAGTTCCTTCTCTGCACAGAGGACCCCCTCCAAGTCTGAGCCTCTGCAGGAATGAGGGATGTGCTGGTCAGGGCTCTGACTCCTACTCAGCCAAGCTTGCCCCAGCATTGCTTAATGAAATAGAGGGGTATTGTGACAAAGATGCCAAGTATCTCAAAAGACCCCAAGGGCCAAGATGAGGGCCTGGAAACAGGGCCTTCAGAAGATGTTGGGACCTTCCTCCATGGCCTCCAGGCCTTAGCCTTGGGGCTCACACCATCCTGCCCCCACTGCAGGCTCCCCTTTTCATAACCTCTCTACACACAGGCTAGTGGAGCAACCCACAGTTCCTCTTAGGCAAATTTATACCACTTCTCTAAATTCTTAGAGGCCAGTTATGGTTGAGAATACAGAGATTTTTTTTTAAGCATTTGAAAGGTGACAATGGCACATCAACCAAATATTATATCCCTGCAGGGACCCAGAGTGGCACATAGTCAGACACATGGTAGACAGCCAGGGACCCTACCAATATCTTCACTGAGGGGGAAATGCTCTCCTGTCAGTAGGGACTGTATTTGCTGCCAGTGTGCTTGCTATATATAAAGGAAAACACTTGAGTTTTCTGAGCTTTTTATATTTTTGAATTGTAATTAAGAGACTCTAGCCTTCTTTGGGATCTCTCAACCATGAGACACTGGCTCTCTATATCAAAATCCAGTACTGAACTGTCAGGGGAAGACTCTGACCAGTTTGGTTGTGATCAGGTGTCACTGCTGTTCCAGTTAACCAAGCCCTGTCTGTCAAGTCTGGCCATGAGGTCATGATAAGGAAAGAGACTCTGATTGGCCTGGCTGTTATCAAGTGGGCTCTGCTCGTCTAATTAGCTGAGACTGATACCTTGGGAGCTAATTTTGAGGTCCTGAGCCTTTGTGAGAGGAACTTGTGTAGCCTCCACAATAGCTGGACAGAATGTAAATGGGCATCTACAGTGGCCTCAAAATTAAGTGGTTGATTTCACCTTAGTAATAATTTAAAACTAAGGGAGGGAGGGAGGGAGGGAAGGAACAGCTTTGTGAGTCAGAAGGTTTTTTTCCCTGTGGAACACCAGGAGGAGTCTTCAGACCGCCGTAAGTGCATGTGTCATTGGCTTTCAATCCTCTAAATCCATCTTGCCTGCCCTGGCAGTGGCTTCCCTTGGTTAACCAGAAGTCCTTACCACAGGCAGGCCTCTGAGAAACCAGGCAGAAACCTGAGTCAGAATTTCATCTCAGCACACACCATCCATGCATGAGGCGTGTTATAGGCCTTCTTTCCTTGCTGTGTATGGCTCTGCAACTTTTAAGATTTCATCCCCTTCTGAAATATTATTCAGCTGTTAATAAAAACAAAATTATTAAATGGATTTGGCAAGGAAACAAAAGAAACAAACAGTTGTCCCCCCCACACACATATACACCATATAGTTCAATATGTGATCATGTGATATAAATTGTATTATTGGGTCTTTGTCAAACAACAAAACCTTGAATGTAGCCCTTTTTTTTTGCTGAAGAAAGTGTCCTGTTTAGTAACTTTTTAAAAAAATTGATGGCATTTTATAATGCGCTTAAGAATATAAAGATAAGATTTTGTTGCTGAGCTATTTGGGGGAGTTTATGCTCAAAATAAGTGGCTAGCCAAAAGCAAATTGACTTTAGGAATTATAAAGAGCCAGAAGAACCTCCCTCCCACTGTCACTGGAAGTGAACTGTGTGCTGCAGTGCAACTGACCAGAATTAAACACCAAAGTCATTGGCAGAAACTCATGTGAATATTTTTTTCCTGTCTCTGAATTTCCTTAAACATACTGTATTAGTTACTTTTCTATTGCTGTGAGAAGACACCATTGCCAAGGCAATTTATAGGAAGAGTTTATTTGGCTTAAAATTCCAGGGGGTTAGTCCATAATGGTAGGGGAGGCATGGAGGCAAGAGGTGGCCAGAGCAGAGAGTCAGGCAATCCCATTTTCAAGGAAGGCACAAGAAGCAAAACATGCCTGGAAATTCGACA